AATAAATATCAAAAATATAAATCTTTGTTTTACTATGGTTGCAAATATCAAAAAATTTCTATATGTAACACGGCACCAGAGTTACGTTAGGGTTTTTCAAAATGCTGACACGCTGAGCTCAAAAGGTTCGCCATCACTGCCCTAGAAGAAAGCCACAAGGCCTTCCTGAAGCACCAACTGGAAGCTAACATTCGGCAAAACACTTCTCTGCTCTGAGGTTTTGCTAAAGCTGGGACTGAACCATTTCTGAGTTGTCAATAGGCCATGAAATGAAACTGGTATTGGTTCGGTTCATGGAGTGGACTACATTACCAGTCTTCTAGAACCGGTTCTGTCCAGGGGACTTTGATTTCCCAAAGAAAGGCTCCAAATTCACCCAAGGTTAGTTAGGGATAATATCAATCTGCTAATAAAGCACTAAAAGACTCAAAGCCTTACAAATGTATTATCTGTAAGAGGAAGAAAAAGACACAGTTAAAAACCTTGACATGTAATCCATTCTTTTAGGTTTTAATAGTTTTCAGACAGGAACTTTAATTAGATTTATAACAAGTTACCACTTGTAGGGAATTTTGGGATTTGTTATTCTTGCTTTAATGGCCAGTAGTTTTTATTTCTTTTTAAATAATTCACATTTTTGTTACTCTATTTGAGAGCTTGTGTTTTAAAATTCTTGCTTTGTTCTCTTATCTGAATCTTTAAGAGAGAAAAGGTAAAAATTAAAATATCTGAGGACATTGTAGCCTTCTCATATTAATGACAATTTTTAAAATATCACTTGTATTCAGAATTCTCTTAAATCAAACATATTAAAGAAAATGTGGAGATAATTTTTGTTTAGAATCTATAGCCTTTATCTTCTGATAGTAACAGTCTGGTAAACTTATATTACACTTACCAGTGATTTTGATGTAAGATAAAAGAGCATATTTGAAGAAAAAAAGGGAATTGCTTTATTATCAGTGATTGAGAAATAGAAATTTACATTGAAAATGCTGCTGACAGGTCAAAAAGGATTGCATTAATACGCATGATGATTTTTCTAGAGAGAAAGCTTTATCTTACCTTTGAGTTAGCAGTTTTATTCTTTGTTTTTAAAAGGCCAATGTATTAACTTGAGCTTTATGGGAAGATGCAAATAACTAAAAACAAACAAAAAAAACTAACAAAACCATGATGAGATCAGGAACTTATTTCAAGAAAGCATATCCTACGTTTTCTTCTGAAGTGAGTGACAGTATAGCCATATGTCTCCAACCATCTACCATCCACAGTATGTCAACAACACAGCAATATTGAGTATTTACCTGTGCCACGTCCTGATCAGTGTAGTATCTGGTGCTCAATTGTCACAAAGTAAATGCTTATCTACGTTCTATAGATTCTGTTTTTGATAAAGAAGTTCACTATACATTTTAGTGCTCTTTTCACCAAAAGTCCCTTTTTCTTGTTTTTCATTTGTTTTTCCCAGTGGTACTGACTGAATAATTAAGTATTGCTGTGGATTCAATGTTAAGGTAATGCCTCAGAGAATTGCTTAGCTAGATCAGCGCCATTACTAATGTGTTTCTGACATGCTATCTATCATAGAATACTTAGCACTTAGGCCTAGCACTGCCCAAGTTGAGACCTGCTGAGGGTGCCATGTGCTTTGGAAATTTCAAGAAGACAGTCTGGAGAGCATGTTCTTTTTTTTTTTAATTTTATTTTTTATTACAAAGGGTATTACATATGTGTCCATTTTTTTCCCCGCCCTAGACAGTCCCCTAGCCTCCCCTATTCCCCAGTGTCTTATGTCCATTGGTTATGCTTATATGCATGCATACAAGTCCTTTGGTTGATCTCTTATCCCCCTACCTCCCGCCCCCGAACCCTCCCCGGCCTTCCCGATGCAGTTTGACACTCTGTTTGAGGCAGCTCTGCCTCTGTATCTATTATTGTTCAAAAGTTTATAATGGTCTCAATTATCCATGAATAAGTGAGATCATGTGGTATTTTTCTTTCATTGACTGGTTTATGGAGAGCATGTTCTTAACTAGTTTTCATTTCAAACCTTACGCCACTTAAATACAGAAAATTGTTGCTGCTAAGTGATGCTTTTCCAGAAATTCTCTGTAATGTATGGGAGGGATTGCTTGCATTCAAAGTTGTAGGCTGATAACACAAAATGGGTGGGAAGGAAGATACCTGGAGGAAAAGTGCCCAGACTCGGTTCCCTTAGAGAACATAGTTGTTCAGGGGCTATAAGGCTTCACATTTTCATTTGGTCAATAAATATGTATTCTGCCTACTATGGATACAGGATGTGAATACAAGTGTCTACCTTCATGGAACCCATGGTCTAGGGGAGGGAACAGTAGAGGTCCAAAAATAAAGAAATAAACAAGTAAATATAATATGTCAAATCATCATAAGGGATAGGGGGAAACAACAGGGGTGCAGTTGTAGATGTAGCGTGTTTGTTTTCTACAGGGTGTCAGAGAGTCTCATTGATTAAGGTCACATTTGAACAGAGATGTGAAAAAAGTAGGGGGAACCCATGAAGATAAAGGATTTCAGGCAGCTGGAGCAGCAGGCGCAAAGGCCCAGAGGTTGGTAAATGCCTGGTGCTTTACAGGGGCACCACTGGAGGCCAATGTGGCTAGAGTGGAGTGAGCAAGGGGGAATGCAGAGACATGTCAGGGGATGTGGCCAGGTGGAGGACAGCCACATAGACCATTGGAAGGACTTCCACTTTAACTCCAAGCAAGACTTAAAGCCAACTCTTACTCTGACTTTAGAAGTAAAGATTAAAGCAAGGGATCAGTTAGGAGGTTATTATAATGATCCATGTGGACAATGATGGAGGTTGAAACCAGGGTGGTTAACAATGAGTTGATGCGGCTAACATGGTTTTGGGCTCAATCAACTAAAAGGATGGAGCTGTCATCTGCTGAAATGGGGAGGCTATGGGAGGAGCAGGATATGTTAACCCAAAGTCTTCCAGAAGCCTTTTAGGCAGACTGGAGTTGTAGAGTGGGCACCTGGATAGCTAAGTCTGGGAATCAGAGTAGTGGCTGGAGAGTGATAGATATTTAGGAATTACTTAGGGTGTGGATGGTATTCGAAGCCATGAAACTCATCAATATGGACTCCTCAAGAGAGAGCATAAGTAGAGAAGAGATGAGCGATCTGAATCCTGGTATGTCACAGACATCAGGGCTTTGATTCTAAATTCACAGAGAACAGTTAATTAAGAAGTTTCCTAATGTCCTGCCTTTTAAAAAATAGATAAACATGTCATTGTTCCCTTTTGAGCTGGTTGCACTTTTTAATAATCATTCTTGAATTTCCTTTCACTCTTTCAGTGGCTTTTATCTGATTTATTTCTAATACTATTTAAAATTAGTAGGAATTTTTTTGGTCTGAAAATCTGATTTTTGTGGAACATCATTTAAAAATAATAATTAAAAGAGATGCCCATGGCCATAAAAATTGAGGTCTCAAAAGTGATTACTGAAGATAAAAGGTAGTATAAGTTTAGTCTGATTTTTTTCACTGTTTTTATTTGTTGGAAGTTTCAGGTTTGGCTGTGATATTATACTAGGCAAATCTGGTGAAAAATCAAAGGATGTAGTATCAGTAGATTATTTGTTTCTTCACACTGAAGTTTAAATTCTTTTTGTTTGCCTTTTCTAGCCAATATTTGCATTTGTAAACGAAGAAAAGTTTAACGTGGATGGATGGATGGTTTATAATCCAGTTGAAGAATACAGAAGGCAGGTAAGCCAATAGGTACTGTAGCATGTAGTGAATCTGAATCATGCATAGTGACAATATGTCACCAGGCATGCTCTTTGAGGATCAATAACATCCTTGCCAAATATGTTTTTAATGGCAGTGGTATATTATAGCGTATTCTGTTTATTCCATGGCCATATTGAATTTGCAGTGAAGGCTGGCTGGATAAGTTCTGTTCCCTTCCCTTACATGAAGAATATCAGTTATATATTGTTCATGAAATGAAGCAAATACTTGGAGTCTAAATTAGTCAAACCTCTATAGCTTCCTATTTAGGAGTTGATGCCACTATAGATTTGTATATTTGGGAGCCTAACTATTAATGACAGAGTTCAATTATATATATTGTGGTTTATAGATTCAAGTTAATCAGAACTGTTTTCCTATAATAATCTCTTTTCCCAGAAAGCTTTGATGAATGTATATTAGAATTTCCCTTTACTGCTTTCTTATGTAAACATAACCTACATGCATATTTATTTGCTGTAATAAAGGCAAGAGGCTTGGAATAATGTTGGCTGTTCAGGGACAAAGGTCTCTTGTGGCATGTTTGTGAAGAAGATCCTGTGCATGTTATGTAACAAGAGCCACAAATTGACCTCTGGTATAACCAAATCTATAGGACAGCTAGGAGTTTTGTGATGGAAATTTTCATAATTATCATTCTAAAAGCTCTTAAAATAATTGGGAAATTTTGCCAAATTACCTTTGAGAATCAATTCAAGCCCAGTTGTGTTATATGCAAAAGCAGTGAAGGTAAAGTAAAATGCAGAACCCTAGACTTGAGAAGAACCGTCAAGCCACCACCTCCACTACTAAGGACCTGGGTTGATTTCCATTTAGTCTTGATCAGTGGTGTGTAGTCATAAGCAGATCCAATGCTCAAGAATGGTGGTATAGGAGTTTATCTCTAGAACACATGTATGAGGAAGTATGTGCTCTTGCTTCTAGAAATCAGCTTTAGACTATTGTTTTCAAAGTCTGTGTATACCTCTCATTTTAATGACCTTTGTTCTGGGGCAGTTATTCAGGCAGAAGGACCATTCAAACATTTTGCATGGTTTGGAGATCTCTGTAGCATTATGTATTAAAATATTTGTGTCTTATTTTAAGAGTGTTATTGACAATATTAAGACATTTTAAGGTCAAAGCTTCTAGATTGAAACAAAACAGTTCCTGTTTTTAAGATTGCATGCATACTAGTATATGAACTGTTGAAGGTATTTTGTTCTAGACTGCCATTTCATTCCATCTTTTTTTCTTATAACTTTCTGATGGGACTTATAACTTTCTAATTGGACTCAGCATCAGACTCATCTGTTTGGTCCGTGGTCAATAGGACCAGACTTAAAGAAAAGGTACAATGTCTGTCCCCAAACCAAGCACCCACATAGCTTACTTTTGTGTGTGTATTTGTGTATTTGTGAGTATGGGGAGAGAATATTCCACCACCTCTGGCTCTTGTCCACACTAGATAAAATTTTATGGGTAGATGATAGGGTGGGAAGTGTCTTCCATATCTCCCTGTGCAGACTGTTTAGACTGCAAATTACTCTATTTCTCACACAACCTATATGGCAATCACCAATCTCAAACAACTTGATTGAAAAAACTCTTAGGAGGTGGCGAAATGAGCCTCCCCAAGAGGGGTTTTCATTTACTTCCCCTCTGCAACTTTCTTCATATACTTAGCCTCTTTGTACTTTGGAGCAGACTGAAACATTTACTCTGTTTTGAGTAGGGAGAGGGAGTTGCCTGATCTCTTTTCTATCCTCAATTAGACACAGAGTAAGAGTACATGATATACTTTTTCTAGGTTGGGGGGGGGGGATACATGGGTGGGGAATGACCTTGCATTTATCTTTATTGTACTAGTAGTAAAGAATAGTTTGACATGAAATAAAGGAAGATCTCAAATTCAAGAGAATCTTTATTTACCAATGACAGTTTAGAACTATGGAAACCACCAGTGTTTGTCTTGTGTTCTTATGTTGTCTGGATTATTGATTTGGCTCCCTTATTATAAATCAGTAGACCGTCACTACACTGTGGTCAAAGATGCATTTGCAAATTCTGCTAGAATGAAGAAAGGAGACCCAAGGCTAATGCAGAGATGAAGTCATGCAGTACTTACTTGGACTTCCTTTTTTCCTGCAGGGCTTGCCCAATCACCACTGGAGAATAACTTTTATTAATAAGTGCTATGAACTGTGTGACACTTACCCCCCTCTCTTGGTGGTTCCATTTCGTGCCACAGATGAAGATCTCAAGAGAGTTGCAACTTTCAGATCCCGAAATCGAATTCCAGTGAGTATGCAATTAATGATGTTTTTTCAGAGTGCCTTTTATTCCATAAGAACAATAGTTAAGTAATTCAGAGAAACACTCTAGGATTTCAATCCAACAAGTAATTGTCAAGTGCCTTTTGAGTGCAGAACACCAGGCTAATTGGGAAAACAAGAAAGACAACACCTGCCTTCCAAGAGCTCACAATAAAGGATGGGGAATGAACACAAGTAATTCTTATTCAAATGAGGGTACAAATACTGCTATCATATGTAAACCAAGGGCTAGATGGACGGGAAAATGGTAGGACAGGGTCTTTGTGGTTTTCATCTTAGTAGCATAATATCTGATATATGAAAGGTATTGATAAATGTCAGCTGAGTCATGCTGGAAACAAGACTATCTTATGTTATAGAGCATGTAAGTATAGGCTTTTATGTATACTCAGCTTTATTAGGACGTGCTTATCCTCATCATATTTGCAAGTTGCCTTAATACCATTTGCAAACTGGAGCCAAGTACAGATTACCCCAAACTGTATACTTATGGTATCATGGGACCTAGTTCCCAAAGTTTCCTTTGCTTCTTAAATATAAATTTTAATTCTTTATTGTTTAAAGTACTACATATAGTATTACATATGTCTACTTTTTTCCTCATTGGCCACTCCCACCCCTCAGCACATGCCCCCACCCCTGCTTCTTAAATATGTATGTACAAGTCTTACTGTATTCTGTGTACATAAATTTTATTGACTAAAAATTTAGAGAATGTTTTCCCCTCTGTTAATTTTCAGGGCATGTCATAATAAGTACATTGTTTTGTTTTGGTTTAAAAACGAGGGTTGAAGAAATTAAGATTTAATGTCACCTTGCCTTTAAATCCCAAGTCTAGATATTTTTATCCTTAAAAGGACATTTGTGTGAAATGTTTGTATACTGTCAACAAAATTGCAACTTTTAAAATTCACTTGGTTCTCTAATTATGAGTGTCTGTTCATATCTTCATGATATATATTGTACTTGAAAGTATGTTTTTTGCTCATTTTGTTAGAACACGGTGCTAAGGAAGCTAGTTACAAGTTCACTACTCTTGTTCTCTATTTGGACATATTTTTCTCTGCCATAGCCACAAACTCCACATTTACCCTGGCAATCTGTCTTGCTAATATGTGCCTTGTCCACAGGAGAACTGGATTAAGGTAGCATGAATCGCTTTTATTCACTCCTTTATTCAGTTAATGTTTATTGAGCATCTACTGTAACAAAGGGGTGTGTGTGTGTGTGTGTGTGTGTGTGTGTGTGTGTGCATGTTTCATGGGATTTGGAGCAGGAAAGGAAATGAACTAACTGTGCCCAGTTCCTTATGCTCAGGCTACCATCTTAATCCAGTAGTTTCCACTATTCTATGTGAATGAGAGCCCACTGTAGAGCAAATAGAATGCTTAACTTTTTGCTTATTGAACCATTTTATGGGTCCTTCTTACTTTGTGATAGCCACCAATTGGCATTTATTTTTCCTAACAAAACTGAGGCTAAGCTGTCCATTATCCCTATATCTTTATAGATTACCAGGCTTAATAGTATCTAATCGTAGGTAATGTACTCTTTCTGATGTACTTTCTAACCCCTGACTCTTGACTGTAACCCAGAAAACATATTTGCTTTCAATGAGAAGTCATTAATACTTGACATTTAGTTTTTAAGCCCATGTAGAAATATAAAAAGAATAGATGAGAAAGCAGTTTTGTTGTTTTAAGTGAAATTAGAAAAAAACTTATAAAATATCACTGATTAATAAAATAATACACATGTGTTAATGTTCCCATTAATGGATACATACTCCTTTGTCCTCAAACATGTTTATCTTAATGTTATGAAAGTCTTTAACATAAGTAATACATATTTTATTTTAGACATTTTAGAAAATACTGATAAGCAAAAAGGAGTCTTACACCTTATAAGAATCACAGATAACATTTTGGTATATGTCCTTCCAGCCTTCCTTCTATGTATGCATATTTTTATTAGAAAAAAATAAAATAATTCTGTAATCTTTGTCTTAATCTCTTTTTTCTACCTAGCATTATTCTGGAAATAAGTTTCCACACTGATAAATATCTACTCATAAGCTAGTATGTAGATATAACACAATGCATTTAATCGGTTTTCTATTATGAGTCATCAAGGTTCTTAATTATTAATCTTTTGCTATTATAAACAGTGCCATGATAAACATCTTTTGGTGGCTAAATCTTTGAGTATAGCCTTAATTATTTATGGCTATTAGATAGTTTAAGAAGAATAATCCAATATGGTACCATATACTTTAAAAGTACTCATAGTAGTTGATATTGTAAAATTAGCATTATTTGTACCAGGATATAGCAAGCATCCTTTTTAAAGTTAGTTGCGATCCCAAAAGAAAAAGAAAGTGAGAGGTGAAACAATTCATCAGAGTAGCATTTCTTAACATAGCATGGTGATTCTAGTCTTCAATCTCCCCAGCAGGGAGAAGGGTGAAAGAGAGGAGGGCATTGGTGGTACAGAACAGTTTCTTGCATTTGACCTCATTTAAATTTAAAACTTGAAGAGGGTCATTTTCAAATAATAAATCTCTTGTGTCTGTAGTGATTTGCTGTTTAAAAGTGATCTCAAATCAAATCAACACATTACACAATATTATATGTCAATTATATTTCTATTAACCTGAAAATTCAATTCAATTATAAATAAATACATAAAAGTGATCTCATGTCTTTTATCTCTCTTGAAGAAAAGGCTATAGGAAGTAGGTGAAGTAGGTCTCCTCTCTACATTGTAGATTTCAAAATGGAGGTTGAGTAAAGGCCAGTGCTTTTTCCCAGGGCTTCACAGTTCTGAGCCTTTGTACTCTAAGGGGCCACAGTGATGTTTTTAACTGGTCTCTGGCATGGCACAAAATCAATGAATGATTATGCATGTTATCATATAATCATTCTCACCAGCCCATTGTCATTATTATGCACATCAGTTTTTATGAATATCAATGCTTGTCATTTGCTTTCCTGGAGTGAGTGACTTCAAAAGATAACAGTGTATTTGGCCTTGTATTAAGTGAGCTCAAATTGTTGTTTCTTTAGCTCTTGTGTCTGCTTTTCATAGTTTTCCATATCTGACTTTACTGGCTGCTGGCCTGCCTCTAGATGCTAACTCAAGCCAGCCAGCCCCCTGAACTGCACTGAGTACTTTACCTGCAGTCATTCTTTCTTCATCCTCCCAGCAGCACCATGGGATAAGATTACTCCCCATTTGATGAATGAGGAAAGGGAAGCAGCAGAGGCTATGAGCTCAGTATGCAGGTTAGAGCCACCCCAGCGCCCATGCTGTTACCCAACACTCTCACCTCCTGGCTCCCTTTGTGTTTTTTTTTTTTGTTGAGGCATACACCAAACAATTTATCCATTAAAAGTGGACAGTTTTATAGCTTTTGGTGTATTACATTTTTAGCTACATTTTGCAGTTACTTTTGGTTCTATGCTATGACCTGGGAAACCAGGTATCAAATGTGCTAGGTGTGTGTATAAAATTAGAGAAGACTGAGTGTGAGTGAAGGCTGGAAGAGCTCTCCTAGGAACTGGGTATCCATGCTTCATTGTAGCGACTCCGGAAGCACTTTTGGCTGTCCTGACACCTTTTTTGCTTCCCCTGGGTTATCCCCAACCCTCATATTATTCTAGAATTGAGACTGTTGGGAAAATGGCCTGCAGATGTGAGTTATTATGGAAACATGTTATATCAGAGGTGATTTCCTTTACCTCTCACTTTTTGCTAAAGTTGTTTCTTTGTGATGATAAATCCAGTGCAAGCTAGAGAACTGAAATAATATCAGAAGTTTTCTACTTCCTTTATGTGATTTAACATTTTTTAGTCAAGCATGTAACTTCTATTAGCTGTGGTGCTAATTAAGAAAGGACTAGTAAGGTAATTGGTTATTCTAATTGTCTCTTAATAGAGACATTGTTAAATGTGTGTTTCTGGGCACACAGTGAAATCATAGGTGAATAAATATTCCATTTCATCAAAAGCAGATTCACTTAATCATGATTGTTAATGCTTTTTAAATAGTTTTAATTGTTCTGAGATTTGTTTTAATAGCTCAAAATTTCTGTACTAACTATAGGTGCTGTCATGGATTCATCCAGAAAACAAGACAGTCATTGTGCGTTGCAGTCAGCCTCTCGTCGGAATGAGTGGTAAACGAAATAAAGATGATGAAAAATATCTTGACGTCATCAGAGAGACTAACAGACAAATTTCTAAACTCACGATTTATGATGCAAGACCCAATGTTAATGCAGTGGCCAATAAGGTGAGTACATTTAATGACATGATAGAAACATCTTATATACAGTGTATGGTGTTTCACATGAATGTTTTTGCCATATCATGACAACATGTGGGATTAAATTAATAGTTAAACTTAGTTTAAATAAGAAAACTAGTTCACTGAGCTAGAAAGTTTTAATCACAAAATGTATCTTAAAAGTTGAATGTATTACAATCAAATGAAAACATTCTTTAGGTATATTAGGCAAATCTGGAACTGTAATGAACTTGGGTTTTGATCAGAATCTTAGGCAAAAGTTAGAATCTCTTTGGAGCTGTTTAGGCTGTTGATGGTTATTCCCAATATCTATGCTGCTGAGGCATCTGTGAGGAGTTGTGGGAAGCTGTAATTGTAAAATCCTAAATTTGTAGCTTTATCAAAACAGTCTCTTCATTATATTCATCAGTGTGTATTCTCATTTATGTAAAATAATTCAAGAAATGAGTAGATGTATGTATGTGAAGTTTATAATCTCACACACACAATGTTATTATTTTCAAAGAAATCTGTCTCAATTGTCTTCATAGCATTCTTAAGCAGAAAATTCCAAGTGCCCCTGAAGTTGACTGGGATTGTCGCTGTCAACATCAGTGACTACATAGTATTGCCTTCCGGAGCTCTCAGGAGGCTGCTGCAAGGTGTAAGGCTGTTTGCCCCGACACTAAATGGCCCCAGATTGTGCTATGCTTTTTACATTTGATTTTTCTTTTCTGTTTTGTTGTTTTTCTTCTCCCATTACTGCGAGCCATCACAAGTGCTCACAGTGGGCCTGCCCTGCATTGCTCATCCCCATTCCATCTTTGAGATTTCTTGTTTCTCATCAGCTGTAGGCTTCAATTTCATCATCTTGAATAATTTGCTTATCCTAAGGTCATCTATCTGATATCTTCAATTATTCAGAGCACAAAACAAGAACCTGAAAGCAAAACAAGTCCCTGAGCAGCTCAGACAGTTGCAGCAGCTTCCTTAGTGGGCCTTTGGCATCTGTCTGCACACGCATCTGTGAGAAGGCATGTGTGTGGGGCTCCACTTACATGGTTGTGCATCTTATACACTGACTCCCAGGGGGCCTCTCTGCCCCTTGCATGCTCTTGGACCAGCTGTTCGTTACTACAGGTGGTATTTGTTTGGGGAATTAATATAATCTTGAAATTATATGTAAACTAATCAGGAAGTGTAATCATTAAGTAAATTAGGAATTATAAAAGTAAAGTATTTCAAAAATAAAGTCTAAATACAAATGTCTTCTTGTATTATCCTTAACTTTATATATTTCTTTTCCTGGAATTCAGACTTGAATAAATGTAGAAAATGCAATATATACATTTAGCCTGAAACAGATATAGCATTAAAATGAGGTATTTAGAAATAATATTTTAAAATATTAAAATGTATAAAACACATACATCATATAAAGCTCATTGTTATAGCAGTAGAATTATTGAATGCCTTTTTAACACTCGGGAAATATGCCTGTGCTTCTAGTCCCCTTAGGAATGAAAGGAAGGAAAATCTTAAGGAAAAATACCTAGGCTTTAAAGATCTCTGCATCATTCTTTAAAAAACACACTCAGGTCCCCCTCCTCTCTTGGCTGTGTCTCTCGCCTAGTCATCTATATCCATAGCAACAGGCCCTTGGACCTGTATGTTGGCATACTAGGCAGTCTGGGTTGTTGTTTTTCTGTGTTGAAAAAAAGAACACTGAAAAGAATATTTTAAAACTAACCAGAGATGGAGAATTTGCACTTTTAAGAACTTAATCTGTGCCTGACTAATTGATTTTACCCTTTTGACTTCTGTTCTATTTGGACCTAATCATTCCTCTCTTGTGGATATTTAGATATTCACAACCCCAGATGTAACAAGCAACATTACACCATTTTAAATTAAACAAGCAAACAAACAAAACCCAGGGGTGAATAAGATCAAGCGTCAAGCTGCTTTAATTTTTCGGCAACACACTGTGAATTATAGTGGAACTGTATTAATGTCTGTTTTTGTTAGTGTCAAAATAAAATATACTTTCTTACCTGGAATCTGTGGAGACCGAGGCATCAAGCTTATACATAGGTCTCCAGGTTTGAAGTTCAAGTAGTAGCCTTATTTCTATTGCAGGAGAATGTCTCTGTAACTAACCCTAGAAGAAATCCAGGATGTGTTGGCCCTTCTATTCGGAGCTACAAGCTTAAATTCCTTCTGTTGTTATAAATAAAAAGGAAAGGGACATGAAGTAGCGATGGCACATTTTTCTGGTGCCTTCATTTTTGCTCTTCATTTCCAAGCACGTTTCCCAGTCCTCTTCCTACAGGCACTCTGAAATTAGTATAATGTTGCTTTGACGATAATATTTTTTTTTCTGGTGAGTTCACACATTCAGATGTTTTTACAGTGTTAATTAGCATCCTTTCATTTCAGCTTATAGAACGTTGTTTTCTCAACAAGTCTCTAAATTATTTAACTTTTTCTTAAAGAGCCAGAGGCCACGTGTTCCATGGCATTTAAAAGCATTAAGGAGAATGCTGCCCGGTTTCTAAACAGAATTATAGCATTTCTTCTCGTCCATGTGGAAAATGGGCATCTTCACCATGCTGTGAAGGTGAACCGGTGACTGCCCTAGCAGTTTATACTTATAGGTGCTGCAGTAGATAGTAACACTCCTCTTGACACCTTTTGGGCTCTGAAGGCCCACTATGTGCAGTGCTCTGTCTTTGGTGTTTGCATAGCAGACAGACAGTCATGGTGCACTAGAAAAGGTTCAAGTATTGAAGTCGGACAACTTAAAGTCTGATTACCTGTGTGACTTTGGGGATAGTTAAATAGCATTTCTTCTGATTTGCAAAATGGGAATGGTAATACCTATCTTGTAGCATTGCTATAAGAGTTAAATAAAATCATGCAAACCAAGAATCACAGTATCTGGGACATCATAGAGGCTCATTAAACACTGGCTGGTGTTAGCTGTTATTGAGTATGGCTTCTTTTAATCCTGTGAGACCTAGGAAGTATTATCCTGTATTCTACAGGAGAGGACATGAAGGCTCAGAGAGGTTAAGGTCCTTTCCCTAAATCACACAGCAAGAAAGGGCTGAAGCTGAGCTATCAATGTGGTTCTGTCTGACTCCAAAGCCTGTTGTTTTCCTCCAGCCCGTGTGTCTCAAGTGAGTGGTACTACAAAGTCAGTGCCTCACCCTGAAAAGTACTTTTATAAAACTGATGGAGAACAAGGGCCATTTAGAACCTGTTCTTGCCTTTACAGTTCTGAAGAAGAGCTAGTAATTCTAGAAGATTTTGAAAGTGATTTTTTTCTCACAGATACACGTCTTTCCAAAATTGCCAGCCTGCCATCCCTTTTCTAGCTCAAAGTGTAACTAATGTTGTTGGAGCTCAGTGTTGGATAGGAAGGCGAGTCCGGTCAGTCATTTATGTAACTTGCAAGGTTTACAGTTGAGATTTGGAGGCTCAGTAACTTTTCAAATATTTGTGTGAGTTACTGACGAAATAGAAAACACAAAATCGCTGACATTTCTTGTAGCAATATTTTTTCTGATGTATCTCCCTGGGAAAGGGAAACAATAGAAAAAATAAACAAATGAGACTACATGGAGCTAAAAAGGTTTGCACAGCAAATGAAACCATCAACAAAACAAAAAGACAACTCACTGAATGGGAGAAGATATTTGCCAAAGATATACTCTGATAAGGAATTAATATCCAAAATTTATTTTTTTAAAAACTCATACAACTCAACACCAAAAAAACAATCCTATTTTAAAATGGGCAGAGGACCTAAATAGACACTTCTCCAAAGAGGCCAATAGACATGAAAAAATGCTCAACATCACTAATCATCAGAGAAATGCAAATTAAAATCACAATGGGATGTCACCTCACACCTGTCAACATGGTTATCATCAATAAATTAACAAACAAGTGTTGGCAAGGATGTGGAGAACAGGGAACCCTCATGCACTGTTGGTAAGAATGCAGACACTGTGGAAACAGTATGGAGGGTCCCCAAAATATTAAAAATGGAACTGCCTCATGACCCAGTGATTATACTTCTGGATATATATCTGAGGAAACCCAAAACATTAATTTGAAAGAATATGTGAACTCCAGTGTTCATTGAGCATTGTTTACAATCACCAAGATATGGAAGTAACCCAACTGCCCATCAATAGATGAGTAGATAAAAATATTGTGGTACATATATACAGTGGAATATTATTTGGCCATAAAAATAGAATGAAATTTTACCATTGGCGACAGCATGGATGGGCATAGAGAGAGTATTATGCTAACTGATGTAAGTCAGTCAGAGAAAGACAGATACAATATGATTTCACTTATATGTGGAATCTAAAGAACAAAACAAACAAAATTGAAACAGATTAATAGACACAGAGGACAAACTGATGGTTGCCAGAGGGAAGAGAGGGTGTAGGGATTGTGTGAAAAAGGTGAAGGGATTAAGAAGCACAAATTGGTAGTTACAATAGAGTCACAGAGATGTAAAGTACAGCATAGGGAATATAGTTAATATTGTAATAACTATGTATGGTGCCAGGTGGGTACTAGACTTATCAAAGGGAACACTTTGTAAAGTATATGATTATCTAACCATTGTGCTGTTCACTTGAAACTAATATAAAACATTATTGAATATAAACGGTAATTGAAAAAATAAATTAGAAAAAAAGAAATAGAAAACACAACTGACTGTCTATGTGTATGTCTTGTTTCTTAGGCAACAGGAGGAGGATATGAAAGTGATGATGCATATCATAACACCGAGCTTTTCTTCTTAGACATTCATAACATTCATGTTATGCGGGAATCTTTAAAAAAAGTCAAAGACATTGTTTATCCCAATGTGGAAGAATCTCACTGGTTGTCCAGTTTGGAGTCAACTCATTGGTTAGAACATATCAAGGCAAGTATATTTGTAAAAAATAAGTGATTGTTTAATGAAACAAGAATTTTTAATCCTTAAATTTAAAAAAAATGAACAGTGAAAGAAGTTCTGCATTTGACAGTTTTGTATTTCCTTATCATTTGCTTACCTAAAGTAAAGATTTCACAACATCACCTCCCCAATATTTTTAGCATCTTTAGAGATGTCATTTTCCATCTCATCAATAATAAGTAGTTGAGTCTTTCACTTAGGTTTATTTAAAAGTAGCCAGTTTATTATCTAACCACTACTTAGTATGACCCTTGGGCCTACAGAGAGATTGTTTGTATTGAAACCAATATCAAATTAACTAATTTTAAAGAATAAATTTTGTGCTTTATTATATTCAATCTTTCCTCTGCATAAAGACTTCAAAAACCTCCATTCTTTTAAAAGTAAAAATACTTGAAACTATCTAAGGGAGCTAACACTTTTAGAAGCTGCCATTTAGTTCTAATTATAAACAAGCAAAAAGCCTACTTAATTTTTTCCATGAAAAGAGTATATTTTAATTGATTTTGTTCATATATGTTAAGTTTCAACTTTCAATAATAAAATTCAATTAGATTCCTTGATCGTAAAAACTTGCTTCACACATTATTTATGTCACCAAAGTCCACAGGTATACAAAACATCACAAAAATTTGACCCTGCATGCCTACTTTAGGTGAATTATTAAGATAGATTATTTTCTAGTGAAATTTTATTTTCCAACTCAATAGGAATTGCATTTTTATCTCACCTGTCTTTCATTTTTTCTTAATTTATCAACCTCAAAAATAAATTGCAAAAATATTACTTGTGATAGCTAAATGCAATGAGGCATCCTGGATTACAAAAATGACATTAGGTAAAAAGTAAGAAAATTTGAATAAAGTATGGACTTTATTAAAAAATAAGTTAATAAGTTTATTAACATGTTAAAAGGCAACTTTCATTGCATCAGGCCTTTAAGGTGTAGACTGTACCTATTAGGCCATTGATTTTTCTACTATGATCATTGTTATCAGTTTAATTGTGTTCCCCCCAAAATTCATATGTTGAAGTCCTGACCTCTAGTACCTTAGAGTGTGACCTTATTTGGAACTTGGGTCATTGCAGATATGATTAGATAAGATGTGGTTATAATTGAGTAGCATGGACCCCGAATCCAGTAAGACCAAAGTTCCTGTGAAAAGCAGAAATTTGGACAGAGTCACATGCACAGGGAGAACACCATCTGAAGATTGGAATTAAACTGCCACAAGCCAAGGAGCTAACAGAAGCTAGGAGACAAGCCTGAAACAGCTTATCCCTGGACCCTTCAGAGGGAACACGGCCCTGCCAACAGCTTGATCTTAGATTCCAGCCTCTGGGAGATAATAATGTCTGTTGTTTAAGCCCCCAGTTCATGGTACTTGGTTATGACAGTCCCAGCCAACTAATACAGTTGCATATATGATTAGGAATTTGAAATGCAGTTTGGCTATTTGTGTGTGTTTGTTTGTTTGTTTTAATACCAAGTTGCATTTGAATGCAGTTTCTGTAGAAGAAGAACTCAGATCCCACAGTCCTCATTTTCTATTTTTCAGGACTCTCTGTTCTAGACATTAATAATATTTTAAAACAGGACTTTTCTAGGGTTAAAACTATCATTTCAAATTGAAGCCATACTTTGCAGCTACCTACTGACTTGCATGTGTTTCTTTGCCAGCTTATTTTGACAGGAGCCATTCAAGTAGCAGACAAAGTTTCTTCAGGGAGGAGCTCTGTGCTCGTGCACTGTAGTGATGGATGGGACAGGACTGCCCAGCTGACGTCCCTGGCCATGCTGATGTTGGACAGCTTCTATCGGAGCATCGAAGGGTTTGAAATATTGGTACAAAAAGAATGGATAAGTTTTGGACATAAATTTGCATCTGTAAGTAAACAATAAAGCTGTTTTTTAATGTCAGGTCACTGCCATTTGGCATTTAAAAACTAGTTGTTAAGTCATATCTTCACTCTTAAAAAGAAAATCTGAGGAGTGTAATAACATTTACAGGTTTGAAAATGGGTGATGCCTTGGGCTAGAAAGTCTCTTTAGGAGACATGTTTATCCGTTTGCACTATTAAGTTTCAATTGAAAGTAATACGAAGAGGCTACATGGAAATGTTTAAATTGAAATTGCAGAAAAGAAAGAAGATAGGATGACAATTCTTTTTCAACTAATATTATAGCTATTAGAGTCAAATATATTTTATAGAAATACTAGACTTTCAGTTAAGGCTTTTGTCATTATTTTTCTCTGATGCACATTTTTAAAATCGAGAGAAGGTATTAAAATTCCTATTACCAGGTCTTGTTTCTAGACACCCTTTGAATAAGCATTTTTCAACAAGCTCCCCAAATGATATTCAGAAACACTGCTATGTAACCTTTTATCTTTCACCCAAATTTCTTAAGTAGTGTGAATAACATTTTTAAGTAAAAAGAATCATTGTTGCCGAAACCGGTTTGGCTCAGTGGAGAGCGTCGGCCTGCGGACTGAAGGGTCCCAGGTTCGATTCCAGTCGAGGGCATGTACCTGGGTTGCGGGCACACCCCCAGTGGGAGAAGTGCAGGAGGCAGCTGATCGATGTACCTCTCTCATCGATGTTTCTAACTCTCTATCTCTCTCCCTTCCTCTCTGTGAAAAATCAATAAAATATATTTTTTTAAAAAAAGAATCATTGTTTAGAAAATGAGTAAATGGTTAGGTTTTTGTCTTGCTTTTAAGAGATAAAGAACTTACTTTTAATTATAATAATCACACCCTTTTGTGTATGGTTTTAAGTCCTGAAATTTTAGGACTAGTCCCTTAGCAACAGGTAACATATTCTGCAGGATAATTCAATCCAGTTTACCTGCAGCTGCCCAGGACTTGGACAGAATTCCAGTCGGATGAAAGAGTTATAACACTCACATGTGATGATACTTTGCCAATTTGTATTGCTATTTTATGAAAGTTTATATACTTAATTTTCATTATCTCAAAATCTTATACTATTTTCTATATTCCCAAGGAAAATATACTATTAACTCTCTGAGAGACTTGGCATTTGGAAAGCAGATCGCTGAGTTGTATTGCCATATTTTGTGAGTTATGTGCTTTCTTGGTGTTGTACCTATAAATTAATCTTCATCAAATCATCTTCACCAATTTATTTCAGAGAATAGGTCATGGTGATAAAAATCACGCGGATGCTGACCGATCTCCTATTTTTCTCCAGTTTATTGATTGTGTATGGCAAATGTCAAAACAGGTAAGGGATATATAGGATAAAAATACATTCAATTTAATGTTTAAATATTTTGATATATGGTATTTGCATCCAAATAAAACAGAGCAGAAATAAGAGCTGCAACGTTTGGCTATGTGCGAATAATTGTTAAAGCCGGGTAATAGATACATGAATTTCCCTTTTTTATTCTCACTACTGTTCATAAGTCTGGGGTTTTTCATAATAAAGTTTTAAAATTCAATATTTGATTGTATTAACTCTAATAATGAAGGAACAATGGAATTGACAATACCAATGTATCTTTTCCGTCCATGTATACTGGCATCTGATAACTTATAATACCTTAAATAATTAAACCATTTGATATATTCTGTATACTCAGGAGAACCCAGAAAATCAGCTTGTTTTCCTTTTTATTCCTTTACTTGACCCTTATTTAAACTCTTCAATCCTCTGCAAATCACCAAAAATTAGAATGAGCATATGCGGATTGCAGCCTCTGCTGTCCTCCCTGGAAAGCAAAGTGTAGTAAAGTTTATGAATCTCTTTTCAGTTTTATAAAAGGTCAATCCGAGTTTTCATGCTTTGTTTACTTGCTTGTTTTTGTCTAGTTCCCTACAGCTTTTGAATTCAATGAACGATTTTTGATGACAATTTTGGATCATCTGTATAGTTGCCGGTTTGGTACTTTCTTATACAACTGTGAATCTGCTAGAGAAAGACAGGTGAGTGAAAAATGCTAATCTTTGTAGTTACATGTGTCTAGTGTTCCATGAAATACAAAGAATTTGGTAACTTAGTTTATAGTAAGTGCAAAGTCTCTTATTTTTTACCTCAAGCTTGGGTGTTTTCAGTTCAACCAGGGTTTGTTGAGTATGTGGTATTTACTACAGGGGTAAGACATTGACTTTGCCCTCAGGGAGTGGAATAACTTTATAGATATGCAAGGTCTCCTTACCAAAAAGCCATGAAAATATCAGTAAAGGGAATTTTTTTAAAGCCATAAACCCACAAGAGCAAGAAAAATGAGAAAAGATACATAGTAGCAAACTTTTGGAAGCTGAAAAGCTATTAGATAAGTGGTAAATAACTTAGTTTGAAAATACCATATCTCAAACCAGCATCAGGGAAGTCAAGAACTAGCCCATTTTACATTGCAGGAACTCCAGATGACTCAGGGGTTCTGGGGCAAAGGTGTACCGGGTGTGTAGGTTGAAGGGGGAAGAATAAGATAACCTAAAGATCTGTTTAGAATAAGCAGTTAGCTTCCCCACGTTCCTCTACTACTCTGTGGAGCTAAGGACTCTGAGATTTCTTTGTGAGAGGGTATGAGTGAGTCTCTGGGCCAGGACTAAAGTCATCAGTGATGTGAATGGAGATGAGCTGACTTGTGAGAGCCCCAGCTCACTTCCGCTACTGACTCCCAGCATTATGGCAGCAGATCCTTATTTTCCAGGTGGGAGTATGAAAGAAGTTTCTCTGTTGGAAATATTGACATTGCTGGTGGAGGTATAAAGTGGTGCAGCAACTGTGGAAAACAGTCTGGTGGACCCTCAGAAAACTAAATATAGAATTTGCATATGACCTAGCAATTCCATTCCTAGGTATATACCTAAGAGAAATGAAAATTTGCGTTGAAACAAAAACTTGTGCACAAATGTTCATAGTAGCACAACTAATAATAGCTAAAAGGTGGCAACAACCCTAATATCCATCAGCTAATGAATAAATAAACACATAGTGGAATTTTTTTAATACATTTTTATTGATTTCAGAGAGGAAGGGAAAGGGAGAGAGAGATAGAAACATCAATGATGAGAGAGAATCATTGATTGGTTACCTTCTGCCCCCCCCCTACTGGGGATCGAGCCTGCAACTCAGGCATGTGCCCTTGACTGGAATCGAACCTGGGACCCTTTAGTCCTCAGGTTGGCGCTCTATCCACTGAGCCATACCAGCTAGGGCACAATGGAATCTTATTAAGCCCAAAATGGGAATGAAATTTGGATCCATGCTACAACGTGGATGAACCTTGACAACATTATGCCAGGTTAAAGAAGCCAGACATAAAAAGGCCACATGTTATATGATTATGTTTATATGAAATATCCAGAATAATACATTCATAGAGACAGAAAGTACATCTGTAGTTGACAGGGGCTGGAGGGAGGGGAGAATGGGGGAAATGACTGGTTAATGGGTATAGAGCAGGAGTCGTCAAACTTTTTAAACAGGGGGCCAGTTCACTGTCCCTCAGACTGTTGGAGGGCCAGACTATAGTTTAAAAAAAAACTATGAACAAATTCCTATGCACACTGCACATATCTTATTTTGAAGTAAAAAAACAAAATGGGAACAAATACAATACTTGTATTTGCATGTGGCCCGCGGGCCGTAGTTTGAGGACCCCTAGTATAGTGTTTCCATTTAGGATGATGAAAATACCTTGGAACTTGATAGAAGCGATAATTTCACAACATTGTGAATGTACTAAAAGCCACTCATTTGTTAACTTTCAAATGGTGACTTTTATGGTATGTGAACTCCACCTCAACTTAAAAAAAAAAAGGTATTAAAAGGTATTTTTTTTAAAAAAAGGTATTAAAATACCTTGCTGGCTTGTCTCAGTGGATAGAGTGTCAGCCTGCAGACTGAAGGGTCTCAGATTCGATTCTGGGACATGCCCAGGTTGCGGCTCAATCCCCAGTGGGGGGTTGTGCAGCAGGCATCCGATCAATGATTCTCTCTTATCATTGATGTTTCTATCTCTCTCTCCTTCTCTCTTCCTCTCTGAAATCAATAAAGAAATATATTTTTTTTAAAAAAGAATCTCTGTGGAAACTTGACTAGCCTATGAAGAGATAACAACATCTAGGGTTCCTCACATTGAAGCTCAAGTTAATGAGCCTCATGATCTCAGAGATTCTAGTCAATTCTTCTTTCCTCTACTCTTACTTAATAGCGGACAATCAAGAGACAGAGAGAAAGCAGCTTGGAGAAAATAGCTACCTGCAATGTAAGGAAAGGGGAAACATAGACAAGAAGCTAGCACTTGCTATCCCGAGAAAGAGGGAAAAAAAGTATATAGATATATAGATATATAATATATGTATATTATATATATGTATATATATAAAATAAAGAGGTAATATGCACATTGACCCTAATGCCCTCGCATCACAAGATGGCTGTCCCCACGTCGTCACAAGATGGCCACCATGAGATGGCTGCCCCCCACTTCATCACAAGATGGCCGCCAGGGGAGGGCAGTTGGGGGCGACCAGGCCTGCAAGGGAGGGCAGTTAGGGGCAACTGGGCTGGCAGGGGAGGGCAGTTTGGGCAACCAGGCCTTCAGGGGAAGGCAGTTGGGGTCGATCAGGCCGTAGGAGAGGGCAGTTGGGGGTGTTCAGGCTGGCAAGGGAGCAGTTAAGCATCAATCCAAGGGGTCCTGGATTAGATAGGGTACAGGCTGGGCTGAGGGACACTCCCTCCCCAGTGCACAAGTTTCGTGCACTGGGCCTCTAAAATAAATATATATATAATCTCCATGAAATAATAACAGGATATTATTTGGAAAAGGACATTTAGACATCAGAAAAGAACTTGAAATAAAAACATACTATCAACAGAAATTAAAAACTCAGAAGAGTTGGAAGATAAAGTTGAAATCTCCCAGAAAATAGAATGCAGAGAAAGGTAGAAAATGGACACAAGAAAACTAGAAGATCAGTCCTAGAGTTCCAATATCCAAATAATAGGACTTCTACAAAGAGAAAATATCGAAAGCAGAGAGCAGGAAATTACTGAAATAACTTGAAAATATTTCCCAGAATTGAAATACATGGGCTTCCACATTGAGAAGCTTGCTAAGTGCCCAAGCAGAGTGGACAAAAATAGACCCGAAATAAGGCACATCTTTATGAAGTTTCAGAACACCGGGGACTAAAGAAAAGAAAGGATAAGCTTCCAAAGAGAAAAAAAATAGGTTATTTGCAAAACAAACAGAAATCAGGAAGACTGAATTCTTCAACAGCAGTATTAGAAGCTAGTAGTCTGTGGCACATTGCCTTCAGAATGTTTTTTGTTTGTTTTAATATTTTTATTGATTTTTAAAGGGAGAGGGAGAAAGAGAAACATTGATGAGAGAGTAGAACATTGATTGGCTGCCTCCTGCACGCCCCATACTGGAGATTGAGCCCACAACCCAGGCATGTGCCCCAACCAGGAATCAAACCAGCAACCTTTTGGTGCACGGTAGGATGTCCAACCAACTGAGCCACACTGGCCAGGGCAGCTTTCAGAAATTTAAAAGAGAATGGTTTCAACCTAGAATTCTATAGCCAGCAAACTGTCAACCAAATCTGAAAATAGACCAACGATATTCCTAGAAATGCATGGCAACAAGAAAGATTTACCTTCTGCACCACACCCTTTATCTGGAAGTTACTGGGATATGTGCTCCATGCAAATAAGAAAGAAGACTCCATGGAATTCAGGAAGCAGGAGCTCTAGTACAGAGAGAGTCAAGAAAGGATCCTCAGGGCAAAACAGAAGAGATCCAAGGTGACAGTTGGATACAAGGTGTAGGGGCACCCAGTGCCGCTTTCCTCTGAAGGTGAAATGAGGCTCCAGGTGTGCAGCGTCTTCACAGAAGTTTGAGACTGGAGGAAAAACTTGGGGTTGAATTAATGATGACCGCCAAGAAAAGTAAACGAACAGAATAGACAGTTGTTAAATAGAGGGAAACCAAAAAAAAATGGCAGGAAAAGAAATCACAGAATAAGTGACTATGTGGCTTACTTAGCAACAGCACTTGCTTTGTCATAGGAATCTAAACACTAAACATCAATGTGATCAAAGCTGGCTATATATTGGGAGTATGAGGCAGGATGTATAGTATGTGCATGTGGAAAGATGGGGGGGAGACAGTCTCAGTGTGTCAGTATTATAATTAATGCCTATAACTGGATAGCCAATAGGTAGCAAGAAAAGCATGATATTTAGAGATTTGGAGGTAAATACCAAATAATTAAATCAATTGATTTTAAAAATCAAACTCTTGCTTCTAGGAAGAGGGGCAATAGGCTACTTTTTTGTGTTTTCATAACAAAACTTGTTGAATGATTTGGCTTTTTAAGCTATGTATGTGCATGTCTAAAAACAAAAACAAGCATGCAAATAAATACAATGCAACATGCATGTGCTATCAGAAACGTACAGATAACATTTTAGGTGGATTCCAATGAAGGCCAAATTACATTGCATTATTATCATTCACATTAATTTAGTATGTATGTTAAAGAAATTTCTTCAGTCTCTTATTTCAAGCTGTTCTTTTTAGCTTCCAGTTGTAGCTTATTGGTTCATTCTTATTGAATGATTAATAGTAAGAGTTTTAAATTCTGCCTTTGGTAATTTTAATGCTTGCATTTTTCCCAAGCTTTGGTTTTTCGTTGGTTTATGGTCAAAATCTATAATAAAAATACAATGAAAATGTGAATATCTGTATGAGATGATGGACACCAGACTAAAAAGTGAAGATTCAGTGAAGTCAGTTACCCAGATTTTTTCCAAATATCCTAATGTTAGCATGATGTAAACTAAACATTTGTGTCATTGATTAAAATAACTTTATATCTAGATGCCTACTGTCAAGTGGATACAGGTTAAGATTTCATAGTTCTAACAAATACAGAAATGAAAAAAGTCAGTGGGTTCTTATGAGTATTTTTCTTTCTGCTTAATTAAAAAAAAAAAGCATACCGCCCATCTGTTCATAAATGTTTTACCTAACCAGTAATAGTCTTCTTAGGTCAGTGAATTGCATTTAATATGATAGCATCCTGCACCTCTATCTTCTGGCAGAAATAGTGGCTCTCAAGCTAGGCCATTATCTATGCAAATATCAGTAAGTGGCTTTGGAGCACTCACTGGCCCATGAGGCTTTTTGAGCTATTATGGGGATAATGTAAATGTGTGATTCTAGTTGGTGCTCAGCTGTATTGCCACAGGCTGTAAAATGTTTTGTGTGCTTGTGTGTGTTTTACTTAGGCTGTCTACTTTCTCTTTTTCTATAGAAAGTTACAGAAAGAACAGTTTCTTTATGGTCGCTGATAAACAGTAATAAAGACACATTCAAAAATCCCTTCTATACTAAAGAAATCAATCGAGTTTTATATCCAGTTGCCAGTATGCGTCATTTGGAACTTTGGGTGAATTACTACATTAGATGGAACCCCAGAATCAAACAACAGGTAAATGAACCTACATTGTTAAAAGATAGTCATGTCGATTGATTACTTCTGGACTTTGATGATGTTACTTTGTGTTTGTTTTTAATATTATGAGGAGAAATTATCAGGCTAATAAGTCACACTTGCTTTTAAACACACCTTTTATTAAAAATTGTTTTTATTTTTATTTTATTTTTTAGCTTAAAACAACACATTTATTCTCTTCTAGTTCTGGAGGCCAGAAATCTGAAATCGGTATCACTGGACCACACTTTCTCTGGAGAATTTAGGTAAAGATCCGTTCCTTACTAAACCATTTATTTGGACTGGGGTTAAACTTGCATTCTTTTGTCAATGGAAATAATTTTTTTCACTGAAATGTAAACTGATTTAAAGCTCTGGAAAATTTCTGAGGTTTTTTAAATTTTATTTTTTATTGGTAGAGAGAAAGAGAGAGAGAGAGAGAGAGAGAGAGATATCAAGTGTCTCCCATACAGGCCTGGACCAGGGAACGAAGAGAGAAATATCAATTTGTTGTTCCACTTATTTATGCATTAACTAGTTGATTCTTATATGTGCCCTGACCAGGGATCAAGCCTGCAACCTTGGCATATCGGGACGATACTCGAATCCACTGACCTACCCAGCCAGGGCAAAATTTTCTGAGTTTTGATAGTCAAAGATTTCCTTTAATCACTGGAAATTTTTATACATCATAGGAAAGAAAACATTTCCTACTCTCTGGTTCAGGAGTATGTACTAGGTCAACTAAGATCAGAGTGCTTTTTTCCTGAGGGTCTTTATTTCTAAAATAAAGATAATTGCTCTGTCAATGGATAGTACACTCAATTGGCCATTTATCATTCAAAAGTGAAAACAATGGTTTTTAATGGAACACATGCCACATTTTATTAAAGACACGCTCAGGCTTTCCATTTTCCCACCCCGACTTCATCAGAAATCAGAAGGAAAATACAGCCTGTTTGTAAAAGCTCGGAAGTACCACCATTTAGTGATTTGTTCTAAGTGCTATAAATATTCAGTATTTGTGATTGCTCTTTGTAAAGGTTTGCACATTTTCCTGCGGTTTGGATGGTTGACTACCTGTTCTCACAGGCCAGTCTTGCGTAAGTGCCAGCTTTAATCCTGCTAGAAATCGTTGGGCAACAGCAGGGACCCAGTGCTGCAGTCTGTCTCTGAGATTGTTTATTCCACTCAGGCAGCTGGCTGCACGCCATTCTGTGCTCTCTCTCCTCATTGGGGAAATGCCTGGTTCAAGGAGGCACTTTCATTGCAAGGTCTCTGCTGCATGCATGAAAGGCTCTTGCAATTTAGTAATGGTTGAAATGTGTAATCTTTTGGAAAGTGACAGATTCCAGGGCTGGAGAACATTCACTTGTTTAGTTTGGGATTTGAGAAGCATGTTTAGGATATGTATTTAACAGTAGCTCTATTGAGTGGAATATCAAGTAAAGAGGAAATGGGACTTTTTCCAGGGTTTTAATTGCTGTTACAGAGGACATGTCCCTTTTCTAATTAAAAAAGATTATATAGATGAGCACTGTTTGTCCTATACATTAAGCCTTTTCTGTGTTTATTGTGGCTTTTTTTCCAACCACTGGTAATTAGAAAATGTTGGCAATTTCTATATAGATTATATAATCTTCCCTCACCCATTTGTACTTAAATAAATTCTTGAAATTCAAGGAATTTTGAGCAATTCATTTCTGAATATATAATGGTAATAATAATAATAGTGTGACAAGGGAAGTTGGAAGGGGCATCAGTCGAATAACTTGCTGTAATGTATCTATTCCCTTGCTCTCAGAGAGCTTAGCAAAATAGAACTGGGCTAGATAGCACTGAGCATTCCTTGGTAGAGGTTTTGTTTTGTTCTGAGACAGTAATTGGACTATATTATAATCTGTGAAGTTTACTCAAAAAAGAAAATAACTTATCCTTTCAATATAGATTTTTCCACACATATCTTTCTGTGCTTTGACACTTTGTATTTTCATCCCCCAAATATTGAGTGTTCCCATGCATCAAGCACACAGGGGGACACAGAGATTAAGAAGAGGTGGTTTCATACAAGTACACAAGGAGCTCCCAGGCTGGTGGGAGCACCCAGGAACATAAGCCAATGAGTTTATGTAGAACATTATATCATACAGAAACAGATTAAAATTTGATCATATAGGACTTTTAAAATTATCTATAATAATAAAAGCATAATATGCTAATTAGACCAGACATCCAAACGACCTGCTGGACATCCTTCTGGATGAAGCCGCGGCAGCGGGGGCCGAGGCAGAGGTGGTTAGGGGTGATCAGGCAGGCAGGTGAGCAATTAGGGGCGATCAGGCAGGCAGGCAGAGTGGTTAGGGGCAATCAGGCAGGCAGGTGAGTAATTGGGGTGATCAGGCAGGCGAGCGGTTAAGAGCCAGCGGTCCCATATTGCAAGAGGCATGTCCAACTCTCAGACATCCCCTGAGAGGTCCCGAATTGGGAGAGGGTGCAGGCTAGGTTGAGGGACCTCCCCCCTATATAGGCCTCTAGTATAATATAAACCTAAAAGAATATACTTCACCATTGAAAAGTTAATTTGTTACTCAGTAGTGTGACCCAGTTGGTATAAAATGATTCCTGACTCAGTCATCACAGCTCAGTGGTTGAGTGTCAACCTATGAACCAGGAAGTCATGGTTTGATTCCTGGTCAGGGCACATGCCAGGTTGCAGACTTGATCCCTAGTGTGAGGCATACAGAAGGCAGCTGATCAATGATTCTTTCTCATCATTGATGTTTCTGTCTCTCTATCTCCATTCCTCTCTGAAATCAATAAAAATATATTTAAAAAATAAAAATAAAATGATTCCTGGGTACCGATAGTGTTCACAGCACTACAGTATGCTATCAGTACTTTCAGAACCAAAAACATATAGCTCCTCCCTATAATAAGCTGTTCGCCTAGAACCGTGGTCGGCAAACTGCGGCTCGCGAGCCACATGCGGCTCTTTGGCCCCTTGAGTGTGGCTCTTCCTAAGCCTTAGGAGTACCCTAATTAAGTTAATAACAATGTACCTACCTATATAGTTTAAGTTTAAAAAATTTGGCTCTCAAAAGAAATTTCAATTGTACTGTTGATATTTGGCTCTATTGACTAATGAGTTTGCCGACCACTGGCCTAGAAGAAGGCAGGGTTAGTGTGCTTTTAAAAGCAAAAGCCACCAACCCTTGCTACCACATAAAAACTCAGCAGAGTTGATGGAAAAACCAGTGCTTACATTTGACAAGATATCAATAAGCAAATTTGGTACTTTTATTTAATATAAGGAAATTACTCATGTCGAAAGCAGAAGTATAAATTAGTCACATTATAAACCTAAATGGGATCCTTCAGCTGCTGGTAAACCTCATATTGTATTTGGGGAACCACTGCACCTCATGTAGCTATCTACTAGGATTGCACTGGGCAAGTTCACATTTTGCATGTGGTAACTCAAGGATGAGAAAAAGAACAGCCAGATATGAATAGGCTGACCTGTGGGGTGTATAAGTCATTTTTGATAGAAAAGTGAAAAGGAATATTAATATAAACATCATTTGAAGCCTAAAATACTTCCATGCCTAGCTGATTGCCTATCTTCTGTTCTATGCTGAGCTGGCACACTCTTTACTTCATAATTCATTTCCCAAGTAAAAAGTTGAGATGTAGTATTTAAAGTCACTTGAGTTTAAATTTCATTTTTCATTATTTTGTCTTTTGGTATGCTATCACAATTGGACACTTCTATTTATATCTTCTAAATGATTTGTGTTTGCCTGTAGGCTAATGACTTCTATATATTTTGTTCCAATTACAAAACTGAATTATCTTTTTATTTCTAATAGTTTTTTTCCATCTGCTCTCTCAAGTTTTGTAATTACACAACCTTGTCATCAGCAAAAATGATTTCTTTTACTCTGATTTCTTTTTCTTGTCTAACTGTCCTTACTGGTACAATAACAAACTGATAGTCATAATAGTCATATGAAACAGGGAAGTTTTAAAAATAGCCAAGGTAATTTTGAAGGAGATTATCAAGGAAGAGCTTATCCTGCTATATATCAAGACTTATTTGAAACAGAATAGCAACCAGAAACAGAACACATGGAAATGGAGACTTGGGAGGGTAAGAAGGTAGTATCATAATGCATAGGGAAAAAAAATGGACTGGATGGTAAATGGTGCTGCCCTAGCAAATCACATTTAACATGTCTAAACCAGAACTCTTAATGTTCCCCCAAACCTGCTCCTTTTTCCATCTTCCCCTTTCAATTCTCAGCAACTCCATCCTAGTCACTCTGGCCGGAGACCTTAGTCATTTTGACACCTTTCTCTCTCATACTCCACATCCAGTCTGTCAGGAGAGTCTGCTGGGCCCAGCCTTCAAAATCTGTATGGCCTCTGAGCACTTCTCACCAGTTCCTACCATGCCCTTGGCCAGGACTCCCTGATTTCTACCCTTGCCTGCTTCTATTCTGTTCTCAATGCAGCAGCCAAAGTGGTCCTTGTAAAATATACACCAGATCCCACCACTCTTCTACTCAAAACCATCCAGGTAGCTGCTTATCTCACCCCAAGTCAAAGCTAACATCCTTATGGTGACCTCTGAGGCCTTATATGACCCCTGCCTTACCCCTTCCTTCTCTAACCCTCTCACCTTCTCACCAACAACTCTCACACACTCTGCTTCAGCCACACTGGGCTCCTTGCTTGTCCTCCCATATCCATCTACATCCTTCCCTGTTCTCCCTTAACCCTCCCCCCCCCCAGGAGCCACTTCAGTGAAGTTCCCCAGACCACACTGTCTATAGGGTACCTGGCACCCCCCTGTTCTCTATCCCTCTTACCCTGTCCTACTTCTTTCCCACAGTATTCATCACCTTTGGATGTTCTATGTAAGTCACAGGATCATTGTTGTTTGTTGTTTATCTGTCTCCCTCTGCTGGAAGAGAAACATCATAAAAAACAAATGGATCCTGAGCATCTAGAACAGTGTCTGGACCTTGGTATAATGAATAAAGAGAAAAAAAGGATATTAACAGGCACTGCACAGCCCTTACTCTACCAAACATCCTATATAATAAAAGCCTAATATGCTAAGTGTCCAGTCATCTGTTCAACCAATCAAAGCATAATATGCTGATGATATGCTAAGGTTGCTCAACTGCTCGGCTATGATGTACACTGACCACCAGGGGGCAGACAGTCAACCCGTCAACTAGTTGCTATGATGTGCATTGACCACCAGGAGGCAGACACTCAACGCGAAGCTGCCCCCTGGTGGTCAGTGCACTCCCAAAGGGGGAGTGCCGCTCAGCCAGAAGCCTGGCTCAAGGCTAGTGAGCACAGGGGCGGCAGCGCTAAGGACCCCACGGGGGATGTCCAACTGCCAACACGGAGTAGGCCTAAGCTGACAGTCAGCTCTGGCCTGTACCTTCTTAGAATCCGGGACCCCTCGGGGGATGTCAGAGAGCCGGTTTCAGCCCGATCCTGCAGGCCAGGCCGAGGGACCCCACTGGTGCACAAATTCATGCACTGGGCCTCTAATTTCTATTCTAATATCATATATGCATTTCTGAGAAATCTCACATTCTGCAGTCACAGGAAAAAGAACATGGCTTAAAAGAAGAATAGGATTAGGTCCAAATCCATGGACTTTTGTAACCAAAGCTCTAATGAAAGCAACAATTGCAATAGAAATGTGGGCACAGTTACATGTCTGCTGCATTTGCACTTGGCTTCCATTGATCACTCCTTGGCAGTCTCTAGTGGGGTGAATAGTGACCCCCAAAACATATGTCCACTCAGAACCTGGGAATATGACCTTATTTGGACAAAGGGTCTTTACAGGTTTAACTGAGTTAAGGATCTCAAGATGAGATCCTCATGAATTTAGAGTATGCCCTACATACAATGACAGGTATCCTTAGAAAGGAGAGCAGAGAAAGATTTGAGCCATAGATATATGTACAGTGGGGCCTTGACTTACGAGTTTAATTCGTTCCGTGACAGAGCTCATAACTCAAATTACTCGTATGTCAAATCTTAAAGTGAATGAGTGAGACACGTGATGCTGGGCTGATGTTGTGGCGTTCACTGTGACGTTTGCTGCGCCAACTAGCGGTGGGGTATCTGAAGCTGGCTCGTAACCCGAATTTTAGCTCGCAACTCAAAGCAAAAAATCGGCTGAGAGACGGCTCGTATCTCGAAAAACTCGTTAGTCGGGACACTTGTAAGTCAAGGCCCCACTGTACAGGAGAACACCATGTGAAAACAGGAGTGATTAGAATGATGCTGCTATAAGCCAAGGAAGACTAGAACCACCAGAAACTGGAAAAGGCAAGGAAGGATTGTCCCCTAGATCCTCCAGAGGGAACACAGCCCTGCTAACACCCTGATTTCAGGTTTCTGCTCTGCAGAACTGTGAGAAAATAAGTTTCTGCTTTAAGCCACCAAGTTTGTGTTAATTTGTTACAGCAACCACAGGAAACTAATACATACATGATCTTAAACCCTAGGCTTCATGCTCCCGCCTCTGAGATGCAGATCCTGGAGGGCATCTGCTTCTATTCCACACCATTTCCTTCAGCATTGACAGTCTAATCCAAGGTGTAGCCTTTCTTTATTAGTGTCTCATCTTCATGGCTTCCTTGTTGGTGTTCACAGCTTTGGTAAATATCATTGGAAAGCAGGACAGCTCTGGAATCCATTAGTACTAAAGGAAGGCACGTCTGTAGACTTTCAGCACTGTTCTTAATGTCTTCATATATTGTTCAGCTTTCCAGAAGCTTGCCCTGGGTCACTTCAAAACATTAATGTGATGGCTAGGGTGTCTTCCGAGGGCTGTTCTATTGTATACATTGGCCTGAGTGGTGATTACATTATTGCCAACATATGTAAACATTCATTGAGCTGAACATTTTAAGATTTGTTCACATTAATGTGTAATTTATATCTTAGTTAAAAAGTTTTAAAAATTAACATGCAGGGGAGAATCATCCTGTTCCAGCACTTTATACAGACATCAATGCACTTTTTAAAAATATATATATTTTATTTATTTTTTACAGAGAGGAAGGGAGAGGGATAGAGTTAGAAACATCGATGAGAGAGAAACATTGATCAGCTGCCTCCTGCACACCTCCCACTGGGGATGTTCCCGCAACCAAGGTATATGCCTTTGACCGGAATCGAACCTGGGACCCTTCAGTCCGCAGGCCAATGCTCTATCCACTGAGCCAAACCGGTTAGGCGGCAATGCACTGTTTATCAATCAAAGTTTTTGGTGTTGTAGCAAAGCAGACTGTATTGACTGCTTTCACTCTCACAACAACCCTGTGAGGTCCATGTCATTTTTATTCCCTCTTGACAGATGGGAAGTGGAGGATCCCAGAAGGTTAAGTCACACAGCTGGTAAGAGGCAGACCCAAGATTCACACCAAGACCAGTGGGTGTCAGAGCCGCTGCTCTCAGTCGTGCATTTATTACTATAAGCAATAGCACGTGAAAAGATGTAGTAGAGCAGAGCAATGCAATAGAAAACTACCATGTTACTCTCTTCAAATTGGCAAACACTCTTCTATTCCCAAGTTCTAATGAGGATATGGAGCAACAGGAACTACCAAACTCACTAGCGGCTCCTAAGTTTGTATCATCACCTCAGAGAACAATTTGGCAGCATCTAGTGAAGTTAGAGAGACCATACCTTCCATCCTTTCCAGCAGTTCCATACCTGGTCAAATTCCTTCAAGAAACATTTGCACATGTGCACAAAGAGATGTGTCCAAGGATAGTAGAGCATTGCATGTAGTAGTGGGGAGCACTGAAAATTGCCAGCTACCCATTCATGTGGGAATGGATAGATAAACTAGTTCATTCATTCAGTGGAATGCAAGGATCAATTCAGAAATACAATTTCAGGGCAAAATGTCAATTGATAACTAACTACAGAATACCACCTTTGTTGTGAAGTTTCAAAAAAATAGAAAAGAATAGTGTATTTTGTTTCTGGATACTCACTTGTAGGAAATGTGTCACAATTCTCTACCTACCAACTTGACAAGAGTTGTTGCCTCTGGGAGCAAAAAGGCAGTGGGCCCGGGGACGGAGAACACAGGAGATAGGAGCTATGTCTTGGTTGAAAACTTCAAAAAGATGGTGACGCATGTGGGAGGAAATGTGTACATAGTTATTTCTTGGTGGCATTTTATTATTCTTGGTACTTTTCTGTATTTTTAAATTAAGCCATATGGAAGGAAAGTATGCATAAATGTTGAACCTCAGTTAGAGGCTTATTCAAAAAGCAGGACCTATAGCAGATGTGTGTGGAGCAGGTGAAATTTTGTGACGTGGTGGGCACAAAGCAGTAACTCAGGCTCGTGCTTCTCTCCAGCAGCCAAATCCAGTGGAGCAGCGTTACATGGAGCTCCTGGCATTGCGCGACGAATACATAAAGCGGCTGGAGGAGTTGCAGCTCGCCAACTCTGCCAAGCTTTCTGATCCCTCAACTTCACCTTCCAGCCCTTCACAGATGCTGTCCCACGTGCAAACGCACTTCTGAGAGGGAGCCTTGCCCAATGCTGAGTTTGAGCTCTGAATAAAGGAAATAGTTGACTTTCATTTGGGGCCTCTGTACAAAGTAGATTAAAATATTTGCCTCCATGTAGAACTTGAACTAACATAATTTTACTCTTGAATATGTGCCTTCTAGATTACATATTACAAGAAAACTACAGTGTCTACACGGCAGTCAGAAGAAAGGATCCCAGATGGGGTTTTGGAAAAATTCTGATACCTTTCAAAAGAAGTTTTTGAAAACTATAAAGCTTAAATTTAATTTGCCTCTTTAGAAGTGCTGTGTATACAATATGTAATTTATGGGCTTAATTGCAACAACATTATTTTAAACTAAAGGGGATAAACGTTTTGTGAAATGGATTTTCCTCAGGTTGCTTAAAAGCATTGCTTCATATCATCTAAAACGAATGCAGATGTGAAAGGTGTGTTACTGCCAAAATCAAATTGAGCTCAGCTTCTGAGGCATTATCCAAAAGCAAGGTATTTCAATAATTGCCAAATTTTATACCATCATAAGTGGTGACTTAAGGAGAACTAGCTGTGTAGATTAAATTTTGGAATATGAGGTGTTTTCCCCTAATTTTCAAGAGAAGCATATTTTTATATTAAAAAAAAACACTGATGGGGCCCAGTTTAATATGATTTGATTTTTTAAAACTTTGCCAGTTCTATTTTCGAAGTTTTTCCTTGAGCTTGCCTAAAATTCTGACCCCTTTTCAGGTTGTGGGAAACCACTTAGATAGCACTGTGCAAGGATGTCGGGTGTCATATGCTGCTGAGGTGAATGTTTTCACAAATGTTGCTCTAGTCAAACCAGCTTATCTGCCAAAGCGTAGGGTTGACCATCTTGGATGTTTAAGCTATTGCTAAAGCATCATTTTTTTTTTTTAAATAAAAGCTGCAGATGTACATTTGTTGAGCGTATTCTTGAAAGTATTGTGTTTATTGATTTCTATTCAAATGATGTTGGGTGCCCCTCCTCCCAAGCGTGCATAAAAACTGATTCTACAAATTTTTACTTGAATACCTGGCAGTTTGCTTTTTCAGGTTTTTGTGTTTGTTTTTTTCTGTAGTATTAAGTGAAATTTCAAATGCAGTTCTATTTGATATCTGAACTAATTCATTTAGTAAGTATATTTGTAAAAGTTAAGGCTAGAGTGAAAGCAATTAATGTGTTTTACAATGATCTGTAAAGGACTATTTATAGCTAATATGGTTATGTTTTCAATGAATAAGAGAGATTAAATATATCTTTGTAAATTATTTTATGTCATAGTTTAATTGATCTATCAAATAAGACATCTCAAAAACAGTAGTATAATGTATAAATTTTGTATGTATAAGAAATTTTATTAGACATTCTCTTGCTTTTTGTAAACGCTGTAAATATTTCATAAATTAACAGTGTCACTCCATAAAAAGAAAAAAAAGCTAATACTAATAGCTTAAAGGATTTTGTGAAATTTCATGAAACATTTTTCATGGCAATGATGACTACAGACCTGCTGTAATAAATATATTAACTCAACAAAGCACTCTGTTTTCTGGGATGTAACTATATATGTGTTTTTTTTTCACTTTAATATATTTTTTATTGATTAAGATATTACATATGTGTCCTTGTCCCCACATTACCCTCTCCCCCCCCCCGCTCTTGCCCTCCCCCCCATTGTCCGTGTCCATTGGTTAGGCCTATATGCCTGCATGTAAGTCCTTTGGTTGATCTTCCCCCTTTATCCCCCCCCTCCCCTACCCTCCCTCCAAAGCCCGACAGTCCAATCAATGCCTCTCCCTCTCTGGATCAGTCCTTGTTCATCAGTCTATGTTGTTCCTTATATTCCACAAATGAGTGAGTTCATGTGGTATTTATCAGCTCTCCAGTTCCATCCATGTTGTGGCAAATGGTAAGAGTTCCTTTTTCTTCTCCCTCTTCTTAAAGAATACCTTTCAGCATTTCATATAATGCTGGTTTGGTGGTGATGAATTCCTTTAGCTTTTTCTTATCCGTGTAGCTCTTTATCTGACCTTCTATTCTGAATGATAGCTTTGCTGGATAAAGTAATCTTGGTTGTAGGTTCTTGCTATTCATCACTTTGAATATTTCTTGCCACTGCCATCTGGCCTGCATAGTTTCTGTTGAGAAATCAGCTGACAGTTGTATGGTAACTAACTTCTTTTCTCTTGCTGCTTTTAAGATTCTCTCTTTGTCTTTTGCCCTTGGCATTTTAATTATGATGGGTCTTGATG